CATTTGTCCATGTGCCATCTAGTCCTTGTCCATATATACATATCTCTTTACAAGGTTATAATCACAGCACATATACAATTTTGCATCCTGCTATTTTTAGTAAGGCAATATTACACAAATTCTTTCATATTGCTCTGCAAACATCACAATTATAATTTTGAACAGAGTCATGGACTTCCACTGCATAGAGGTATCATAATTACTTAACCAAAATTACTTGTTGAATAAATGAACCATTACTCTAATGGTGGACATTCTTTCTAATTTTGTGTCCTTATAAATAACCCAGTGATGAATACCCACAACATATAGTTTTCCTATTAGAACAGTTTGTTTCTTAGAACACATTTCCCAAAATAGGATTATTGGATCAAGGGGTACCAAAAAGTCTTTGTGACTTTTGCCATATATTGCCAAATAATATTCCAAAAGGCTTTTACCAACTTATAATGGTACCAGCAATGAGTCAGTGTTTATCACTTGTAAGGTAACCATATTATCATAGGGTTTTCTTTTTGTTTTTATTGATTTAATGGGTGAAAATTGTACTTTGTTGCTATTTGACTATGCATGTTTTTGCCTACCAGAGAGGCCGAACAGTTCTTCCATGCATTTATTTTGTGAAATAATGTGTCTTTTGCCTGTCTACCTACTGCAGAATTCATTCAGCCAACAGTTATGGCATATCTACCACATGTCAGGCCTGTGCCAGGCCTTATGATCTATATGAGCTCTGTGCATAACATGGACATTAATTATCTTGTCAAATTCATGACAAACTTTTCCTGGGGTGTTTTCCTTTTCATTATTTTTTCCATCCTTATTGAAGTATAATTCACAAAAAAATGTACATATTTAAGGTGTACAATGTGATGATTTGACATATACAATGTGAAATGATTACCAAAATCAAGTTAATTGGCATATCCATCACCTCGGTTAATTGTGTGTGTGTGTGTGTGTGTGTGTGTTAAGAATACTTAAAATCTACTCTCTTAGCAGATTTTTATATATTTGAATCTGTTGATCTCTTTCTGAATTCTATCATTTTATAGCTTACAAGGTTATTATATATCCAGGGATTTCATAGTTATTCTATTTTCTGTGGTCTTATTTATAAGTTTTCCAAAGAGTCTCATATATTCTCCTACAATTATAAAATGAAAAGCTCTCATCCCTATTTTTTGATTCTTGAGTTTTAACATATATAGCCTTTATTTTTACTAAAAGCACTTAATTTGAAACAAGTTTTAAAGGTTCGGTTTATCATTTACGTGGGCTGTGCTGTATTAAGAATGATTGAATTTTTTAACTAACCCTGTAACAAGAAGAGCATGCAGGCTTATCTACAAAGACTCAACCCTCAGCCTAGCTAAAATCTCCTTCTTTTTCTCAGGCCAATAAAAAGATATTTAGAATAATCACTGCATTGCTGCCTTAAGATTGCTTTAGGGTAGAGTCCCCTTGCTACTCAAAGAGAGCTGGGTTTCCAGACTAGCAGTGGTGTAACCTGGTGCTTGTTGGGAAAGCAGAATCTCACACCCTCCCCTAGACCTGATGTATCAGAATCTACACATTAAAGTCTGAGAAGCACAGGTGTAGACCACAGGAATCCTTTGAACTCTGTTGATGCTCCTTCTCTTAATCAGGCACCACCAGAAGATATTCCTCTGTTCAAATGTTTCCCTTAAACCCTTTTACTGCACTCCTTTAAAATGAACATCACTCAACATCGTGTACATGAAAAGTAATAAGCTGACATTTTGAGGGAAAAGATGAATCTAAGTTTGCAGCCTCAATTTCATCTAGACCTAAGGTTAAAAATACATGTCAGTAAGAGCCAAGCAAGTCTTACAAATCAGTAAAACATTCAGATAATGGCAACTGCCTTTGTCTTTAGTGTCAAGGAGATAACATAGTGGAGACTTTGGCAAATTTCAGAGTTCATGTCCCATCTAAAGATACAGCAGCAATTTGGCTTCAGCCTGGTGTTACCAAACAGGAATGCTGGCTCAATGTTGCCAGATATTCTGATATTTCAAGAGAAGCTGAAAATCTGTAGTTTTTAAAAATGTGAAATCTCTCAACTTTGAATTCTGGCAATTCACTTAAAAATTTAAAAGAACACTTCTCTGTGCCAGATCCAGCCCACCAGTTTGAGACTTTGGCTCTAGACTGATGATTTCCAATCTCTTTAAGTTCGTGTAACCCATTTGTGCTGATTTTCATGCTTACTGCTAGTGCACCAAGGAGAGAGGTTGTATTAATATAAACGGCAAAAATCAAATCTCTATGACTATATTTTAAAATTTTGTTTTGTGATTATTAAAACTGCCAAATCAATAATGAAAATGTCCATATCAGTGATAAAAAAATATTTCCTAGATGTGAAATATATGTTGAATGAACCAATATTGTCCTTACAACAGAAACAAACACATAGAATACCCAGCTCATATACACATTGAGAATTATGTTGTGTTCAAGTTTTTGTTCCCAATAATTCCATAACTAGAAGGCAGCCAAAAAAAATAACTTCGAGCTATTGAATTATAAACTTTATCTATGACAAATGCTGCGTCAAACATAAAAAGGGACACATTATCATTTGAAAAACAAAAACAAGAACAAAATATCCTCTTGTGGAAACTGCAAAGTCCATTTTCCTAAACTGTTCAATTATTCCAAAATAACATTTAAAAAATAGAGTGTGAAATACACCATTTACATTTGTTTTCAGTTTGGGGGCATTTGGGTCTCAGGCACAGCTGCATTCCCAGCAATTACTACATATTTTATTATTTGCACATGCATCTATGGAGGTAGCATAAATCGCAGGCTTGAAGAGCAGACTGGATATAAGGATTCTGAATTGTACCATGAACCCAAACTGGTCTGCTCAATACTGGGCAATTTAATTTAAAAAGGCAAATCAATTTTCAGTTTCTTCGTCTGGAAAAGGGAAAATAATCTAGGACTGTCCCACACTTGAAGACTATCAGACCAAAATGTATTATTATTTTTGTTTGGCTCACTCCTACACTCCTGGCCTGGTACATAGTATGGCTGAATGAATGAATGAGAGGAAGAAAGATCACAAGATACAATTGCGTCGTGATTGTTGAACTGTTTTACATCGGTGACTGTTTTACATCAGTCCTATATGTTTCCATCACAGTGAAACAGAATTTAACAGATTCTATTTAATAACTCACCTGAGAAACTCACTCCTCAAAAAGAAAACCCACGTTTGGGTCCAATTAAAGATATCTTTAGGTAGTCTTAATATCACAAAACCACTTCAAATATGTGTTCGAAAAGCTTCAATTAAAGGTTCCATTTTAAGAATATAGTCTTGTGCACACAATTTCTATTGAACTTTGACACTGATGAAGTTTGTCAAAGTGGCAGATGCTGTAGAATGACCAAGGGCATACAATGTATGTGAATGGCCAAGTTTCACCTAGTCAGCATTTCCAATTAAGTTGATGGGAGGATGCTTTACCTTTCTGTGTATCTCCTTAAACAATCTAGTCTCTGTTTCTATGGAAAAATAAAAATAAGAGCCATGAAAGGGCTCAGAGCTAAAAATCCCCATTCTTTAGACAGAGCACTGTGCTTTCCAACTGCCCTAGGAATGGTTTCTCAGAGGAGGGTGAAAGAGTCAGTCTCCTACTTGAGCCAAAGTAGTTCTGCTTTGGTGTTCTCTGCTGGGGTTAGACCTGAGATTTTATTTTAAAATAGGTTTATATCATTAATTTTTTTTTCAAAACTGTTTTAGGTAAAGTCCAAGGATGAGAGCCATTCTAAGGGCTTAGACTGAAAGATGGAAGAGTCGATCTATGGCAGCTGAGAGAATCTGCTGAAGCTTCTGCAATCAGGCTAATGTAAAGCCCCAGGCCCTAAGAAGGGCTTCCAATCTCTACCATAACTGATGAAATTGATAAAATCAGTTTAGACAATAAAATTCAGATTAGTAAAAAGCTGTCCTACTTTTTTACTCTTTAAGGTTTAATACATTCAGGTATTTGAATACATATTTTTTAAGCTGCAAATTATTCTGCAGCAAGTTGATGTAATCATAAAGGCAACTATCACCACCTAGTGAGCGTCTACCCTAACTGAAATAAAAGGACCTACACCAAATGTGGGACTGTGCCTGAAGGTGGGCGAGGTGCAGAGGAAGACAAAACTTTTTGGTGGATGAAAATGGAAATCCTGGCTGGTCTGGTGCTGACAAATGTTACCTCCTCTCATAAACACATGGAGACTGGGACCCCTTCCACTGTGCTTGGATGAACCAGCTTTGAGATGTTCCCCGTTTCATTATTTTCAAAGGGAATATCTAGTCTCTTAAAGGGAGAAATAGGTAATCTGGATCATCATGGAGTAGACAGAAGCCACAGTGGCTAAATGAAGAGGACCAAAGATGCCTATCTAATGTTAAATGAAAGGGCTGGTCAGTCTCGCTGCTCGCACCAATGTAACTGCTCTGAACTTTAGTACTAATCGGAAAAAAATCTGCTGGCCCATGTTAATGTAAGCCAGTGGAAGCACTCTTTGGTGTTCCTATCACCAGATTCTACAGAGGCCTCCTGCACCTTGGCTCCTTTCACTGGCAGTTGACTGGGTCAGCCCAACCTCCTCACAGTTGTCAGCAAGAGTCTCCTCCGTCATGAAGCTTTCCTGCTCCCTACTGTTCATGCTGTGACATGAGTAGATCTTTATTTTCAGGCAGACCATCTAACAGTTCTGTTGTGCTTGGCACATCCACTTTCCATGCCCCCAAATTAAAAGCAAATGAGATTTGTTTTCCCTTGAATAGGCATTCCCCAGAGAGCTAATATTTAGGGTAAGCAGTGATAATGGTTGGGTCAATTAAAATAAACCCTCTTAAATCTACTGTACAAATAAAGCTATTTGTACAATGTTGACCCTAACACCACAAATTGGAAGGCTGGAGAGCAGTGTATGAATTTGTGGCAATTAGTAAAACTTACCTCACACTGGATGTGTGGAGAATGGGATGTATTCGACAAGGGGTGGATACAGCTGTCAACAACTTCCAATGTGCCTAAATTAGGAAAAAGAATCAAGAGACAAAGTTACCCTTTTAGAAGAAAAGTTTGAAATTCTTGAAATTCAAAAAAAAAAAAAAAAAGGCAACTTCTTGGCTCATGGTAATCCAATCCATTCTACTTTGTATTTACAACTCTTTAAAGTTAAAGGAAAACTGCCAAGATGTTCTGCATATTTCCCCAAATGTCTGTTTATCACATAACATTCTCACCGGCAGTGGATCTGGCCACCTCATTATCAAGCTGTATTAGTTCAAACACTCAGCATTGTGAGCGGAGTGAGCTCATGGCCTATTTCAGTTTTAAATTAACATTTGGCAATCACCCGGGTAATCAAAACAAATGACTCAGTCGTTTAGAATAGATTTATTAGTTGAGCCTTTTTTTCCCTCTCTTTTGACATCTTTAGAATATTTTGCCACAGGAGGCTCTCGGATCCAGACAAAATGTGGAACACAAGTCACCAGAGGAATATTTAGAGGTGTTGCCATGGCGACGAGGTGCCGTGTGACCGCTGAAGTTATCTCCAATCAACAACAGGATTAGGATGCAGGCTGGTGGGCAGGCTCATCCCTGTGCTGATGGTTCCGCATCACTAGGAAACAGGTGTGCCCTGTGCTTTTCCCATCACCACACAAAGACAGTACAGCTCAACCCCACAGGCACGGTCACTCCCATTATGACCTGCCCCCCCCCCCATTATTCAGAAAGGGCTGGCTGGGGCTAAAAAGACAGAAAGTGTGATTGCTGTATTATCCCCAATGTGTGAAATCCTGAAACTCATACCAAAAAGTACT